CCCCAAAACCCCAAAACCCCAAAACCCCGGGACACAAAAATTTGAATTATTTGGAAATTAAGATATTAGGTTCTAAGTATATAAATTTGAGTTAAAATATAATATCATTAATAAATACTTACCTTAGATTTAAAAGCATGTAGAGGCTAAATATCAACACTGGAAAGAATTTGATTCTGGTAGAGGATTTTGATCATGATGGGGATAACAAATTTATCAAAGAATCATTAGTACCTTACTTTAGGGATTTGTTCAGAGATTTATCTCTGAGGTGCATGTCCCCTCAAGGGATAGAGAGGAAAATTGACAAAGTTACATTCATCTAGTACTGCCAGCTGCCGGGCATCATCAACGACAGACTCTTCAACATCTTCGACAATCATAAGGACGGCTTCATCAATGAAAGTTCATTCATCAATAATTTCGTCAGCATCTTTATGAGTGACTTAGATACCAAGTTAAGGCTAACGTTTAATATGTAAGTAAGATATAATACAAGATAATAATAATAATTGGGCTGAATATGAAGTGCTTAACTGATGTATAGGTATGATTTTAACAGTGACAATTACATATCTGAAGAAGATGTTAGAATTGTACTGTCATATGTTCCTTTCAGAGAGGGCAGTTTAGAGAGTAACAGCTTTGAATAAATGTCCAATGCAATGGCTCAATTTAGTATTGGATCTTAAGAAGGATTATATAACTAAGATCAGGGCAAAAATATTGAGTACAAAGACAGAATCGCTGAACAGCAGGAGCTCAAGCAATTTACAGCATAAGTTTTTGCCAGCAAGAAAGAGATGTCATTTAACGATTTCAAAGATTTTATTACCAGAGTATCATCTGAAATGTACTTCTCCTTGATGAGTGTTCTGCATGAATCATTACCGTGCTCCTAGAATTTCTTTAGACTCAAAAAATTATATAGAGCAAAGATGTCAAAGTCATATAACGATAATCGCAAATCATAATCCCCAGCTAGAACTATTGCTTCTCCAAACATGGTTAAAGGACTCTCATCATTCAAGAAGGCTGCTGCTATGGCTATGGAAGGGGGGTCTTCAAATATGGGAGCTGGTGGCTCTAATACACCTGGTGGATATCTTAATAGCCCCGGAGGTTTAAATTTAGCTAACTAATAGAATTCCGGAAACTTGACTCCAGTTGTACTAAATAAAAAGAAGAATCTGGATGTTGCCAAGATACAGCGAATGGGTAGCCGCGCATCTAATGTCTCTTCAGTCATCGATAGTTAGTTCGAACATGACGATTACAGCTATGAAGAGCAAAAGATTCTGTTTGACGAAATTAATCAACATCATGATGATGATCATGAAACTAGTGGTGCAGGTGGATTTGGGTCAACTTTAAAGATACCACTTTCTAAGTATAAGATGTTAAACCATTAGGTAGAGGAAGATGCTTCACCATCATCAGGAAACTATATGAAACTCAGAAACACCAGAGATTTTTCGCCAGTAACCCCTTCTAAGGCAAACGTTATCAGAACAGGCATGTAAAAGGACTAATAAGCCTTATTTTCGCCTAAAGTCTCATCACAAAGTACCCTTCCTGCACTCAAATCTCCAAGTGGGGGAAGCGGTGCCAGTGGTGGCAAGAAGTCAACTTTCTCCAAGAAAGGTGGAGACAAGTCAACCTTTTCGTCAAGTATCTAGAACTCTCAGTTTGGATCCAGTCTTCATATACCACAAAAAGGATAATAAATTAACCAGGCTAGATAATATGCTTCTTCTCACGGAGAGGGCGGATCTGGCAGTGGTCAAGGTTCTCCTTCAAACTATATTTAATAAAATTACGCCCCATTTGAGCAGGAGATCATTGAAAACTATGGTTATTAGCACAGAGAGAAGAAATACACTTTCCATGAGGGAGAGTGTTATCTCAAGACCAAGAGCGATAGATACAAGGCTCATTGGGGTATGATTATGGGCAACGAGCTTTATTGTTACAGACACAAAGGAGACACAGAACATAGAGCTATGCATTGCCTCGTCGGTACTTTCATCAAGGAGTTCCAGCAAGAGAAAACTGGAGATCACGGTTCATTCTGGCCTATCAAGATTACCCTTCCCCCCAATAAATCAAGAGTCCTCTATTTCAAAACTCAGCAAGAGCAAGCAAAGTGGGCTGAGATTCTCAAAGAATCTATTGGATATGCCAATCTATTTGATTACTATGAGGTAAGCAAACCTCTAGGTAAAGGTCAATTCGGTCTAGTTCAACTAGCTCAGCACAAGAGGACAAACTAAAAAGTAGCTATAAAGACTGTTAAGAAGAAGGATATGAAAGCAATTGAGGTATATTAACAAAGAAGAGAAATTGAGGTCTTGAAGATGTGTCAGCACCCTAACATTATTAAACTATTGGATCTATTCGAGAACTCAGACTACTATTACATTGTTTTGGAGTACATGGAGGGCAAAGATCTCTTTGATTATTTGAAAGCCAGAAACTTCTCAATCTCCGAGGAGAGAGCTAGACATCTCACTCAGCAAGTCGCAGAGGCCATCCAGTATCTTCACTCATACGGTATTGTCCACAGAGATATTAAGCTAGAAAATGTTATGATGAGTGACTCCTCAGAGAAGAGCGTCCCTAAGCTTGTCGACTTCGGTCTTGCCAAAATTATCGGACCTAGTGAGAAGACTACTGAGCCATTCGGTACTCTCGGCTATGTCGCACCAGAGGTCTTGAAGAAAGAACCATATACCTTCTCTTGCGATCTGTGGTCTCTTGGTTGTATTTCTTATGCTTTGTTGTCAGGTTCATTGCCATTTGACCACGAATCTCAGAAAGAAACTATTAGAATGACTCTTCACGACCCACTAGTCTTCGATTTACCTGTTTGGGATCAAGTCTCCGGATAAGCTAAAGAATTTATCGAAGGACTTCTCTAGAAAAATCCAAATGATAGAATGACTTTGAAAGAGGCCCTTAAGCACCCATGGTTAGCTAAGCATAAATGATAATTTAATCTTCGAAGTTTAATCTTAAAAATATTATTAATCTATATTTAGTTACCCACTTTAAGATCTATCCTTGTTAAACGGGGTTTTGGGGTTTTGGGG